GCTGTGAAATATACAGGATCGTTAATCCAATGATCAGTAAAAAATGAGGAAATGTTTTATATTTCATCAAACCTTTTATTATAGCTCACTTTTAAGCACAATAATTAAAGTGAAGAAATCTTTATATCCAGCGTAAGAAATATATTGCACCCCTCCTCCTCCCTCTGAAATAAAGAATTTGCACTACATAACAGCAGAAGATAATCTGGTACCTTGCAGTACCAGAGCAGGCAGTATGAGCAATGAAAATTAGATTTAAAGTACTTTTGGAGAACTATAAAATATGTCATTTTCAGCATTCAGACTTAACAGCACTAGGAAGAATATATGACTGGGAAATCTCAGAAAAAGGAGGAGAGAGAAGAGGAGTGAAAGACACCCACAGATGTCTAAAACCCCTCATGTGTCTAGAAATAGATGCCCAGAAATGGAAAATAAGGCTATGAAGGTTGGAATATATGACAGTACACTATAAATGTATTATGTATTTGGAATAGCTGAACTATTCCTGACAAACCTGTACCTATGATATCATATTCAAAGACTGACTAAAATCTTTCTGCCACAGCACACCATAACATATTAGAATATACACTTTCAGAAGCAACTAGGTCATTTACAGCAATCAGTTCCATCTTCAATTTTAAAAAGGTGTGCTGCATTTCCTTAGGCACAAGGCTCCCAAGTAACCAATTTCTCCAAAATAGCACAGATTCTGGTCACATGGGTACTTCTGAATACTTGAAATTAAATCTTGTAGAAGTCAAAATCTGTCTTCCAAACTTCAAATAAATTACTATTTCATTTACACCTTGTGTAGGTTTACAGCAAATTCTGAAGAAAATTCTAATCCAATGATGCCTTTGATTTACTGGTGAGAACTGAGATTTGGATCTTTACTCAAGAGTGGTTATGCATGGGGCAATGAGAACTGGAAAAATACTACACTTTGTTTAAATGGATCACAGATCGCTTCTGTGCATTATGATCTGTATCATTGCTAACTTAGCTCAGGCCAGGAATAGTCTTATATTATTATTTTTTTAATCTGGACTAAATAAATAGTAATTTAATCTCCCTGAATATTTACCTTAGAAGAGAAAATGGGCATGTTATCTCACCTATTTTATGAAGTTCAAGAAAATTTATACCTAGCTTCATGTTTCTCCTTCATCCTCCTCTTCTCATAACAATCCTTACTTTCTAGTCTTAGTATACTGCCAACTGTCAGAGTTCAGTGGTGGTAAAAGATTTGGATGCACTGACATAGACAAACACAAGGAAGTGCAAAGCTGGAGAAATTCCACAGTTAAGAAGGAAAACTAGCTATGGGTACTCAGAAGTCCAGAAAGTCAGCGAACAGCTCAGTAGAAATGGATAGATGGTCACAGTACAGTCATTACAACAAATCACTATGAACTTCTCTTATAATAACGTGTTTTTCTAGTTTGAAGAATTCCTTAATTCCCTGACATTTAAGGAGGCTTCCGTCAGACCTACAATCCTGTATTTCTGAGCACTGCCTTTCTCAGTCATTACCTTCAGTCAATGGAAAGAAATAGATCCTTTCAATAGCATCTCATTCCAATGTTATTGCCTACTGGCAACAAGTACTAGGGAGCTCAGGGTCACAGATATAGGCCTGCACTCCTAGAGATCCAAAGTACTATAATTTTCAGAAGTCTGTAATGAACTAGGGATGGGGGACAAGGAACGAGCATAAAAAATACCTGCCAGCTGGTTGGTCATCTCAGTCAGAACATTATGAGTGGACACAAAGTCTTTAAGGAACAATCTAGCAATATCTTATAAGTCAAAAAGAGCAGAGGCAAAGAAGCTATAGGGTCAATATGCAGTTAAAATGCCGTCAAAGCTTAAAATAATCTAGGAATGGCTCTAACATAAGGTGACAGTTTATCCTGTTTATGAAAGGTGGTGATCTTGAACAGGAAGACAACTGAGGATGTCAATCAGAAGTAAGGATACAGAAATTATCACAACCAGAGGAAAAACATTTTGAAGAACTCAAGCTAGAACGGCCAAAGAACTGCCATTTTAGAAACTTGAAAGATTTGATGCATGACATTACAAATCCAGAAAGAAGACCGTTTGACTGACAATAAGCAAATATACTGCCTGTTTTGAAGAAATGAGAATTCCACTACAACCGGAGAACTTGCTTTGGAAGTAAGGAGAAAACAAGATGTGGAATAAAGGAATGTGGGGTTTGTTTGTTTGGGTTTGTTTTGGTTAGCTTTTTGGGGTTTTTTTTGTTTGTTTTCCTTCAAGGTAGCACATGTCAGACTATACAGTTTAATAGCAAATCATAATTCTGAGGAAAAAAAAAAGTAAGTTTAATGATAAAATATGCTTATGAGGAACAGTTGTAAGACAGTCATAGTAAAGAAGGATTGGAATACTATGCAGAACAAACTGGGTGACCATCAAAACTGAAGTAATCGGACTGGAATGAGATTCAGTAGTAGAAAATACGAAGTTGTGAACTAAATAATAGACATTTCAGCTGTAAACAATGGGTTTTTCAGTTAGACATAAGGTATTAGTGAGAAGAACATAGCTATACTAAGAATCTCCAATGGCACTCTGTGAAAAACAGCTGTGAAAAAACAAGAAATGCTATCCCAGAACATGTTCGGAGAGCTGACACAGGCAGGTTTACTGCTACTTAAGCGCAAGACACTGAAGTAACCTCATTTCAGTGCTTGTTACCTGTGCTCAGGAAAGATGAACCTAATTTAAAGAGGGGAAGGGAAATCACAGGAAGGATACTTGAGAAAATATGCTTTGAGGTGTTTTAGTCAAAAAAATAAGGGGCCAAAGGAGAATATGATTACTCTCTATGAACATAGTTGGGGTTGGGGAAGGAGTGGAAGCACTAGGGAGAGGAAAAATAATCTGTTTACACTAAAGAACAAGGTTGCCAAAAGAATATAGGATGATAAACTAAATACGTTTAGCTAGAAATGAGGACTTTAGTGATGAAGAGGTCTGAAACTGCCTCCTGTTCAGATTGTGTATATTTGTGGAAACTACTTTGAAGATGAGGGCTAGAATGCTTGTGATAGCAGGGGAGTGGATGCAGCAACCCAGAAGGTATCTTTCAGTCCTGTACTCCTGCATTTCATCTACTCTTAATATTTGACTCAGCCATTAGGCAAACACATTGATTTTAAAGTCTTTTGTCTACTTCTACGATGTTGCATAAATTTATTTCACCCTCTCAGTATCTTCTAACTCCGTACTTCTTATTGCTAAACCTACTAGAGGACACTTTTGTTTGAGTATAAACTTTGTGAAGCAAAAACTTGGTTTATTCCAAGTCATTCCCTTGTCATTCCAAATTCATCCTGAAATATGAGGAACCTGGTCTTTCATTAAAAAAAAAAAATCTTGAAAACTCGCTTACTTTTTCTTGTTGCTTTTCCCACACTTATTTCATGTCAAAGTCACACATCCTAAAGATATCCTAAATATATCCTAAATTGCTGTTCAGTTCAGCTACAGGGTATGTATGGGGATGTGTCAATATAAAATGTATTTTACAGCACTCAGACAAAAGTGGAAGCTTTCCCTTTCAATGAAACAGGCCTTCAGAAGCACAACTACTGAAATCAGTACTGTAGTGGGATTTCTGAGGAAGAAAGAACAGATTCGCATTTTTTAAGTAAAAAAATTGCCTGTGATTGCCAATCATTTTCACATTTTTAAGCCATTATCTTAGGTAATAGCTTCATGCAACATACAGGTCTTGCTACTTGAAGCCATCTACAATACTTTTACTGCATTGTGGAAGAGAGAAAGTTGGCTTCCTGCCACTACTTAGGTAGGGTTAGGAGTCACATGCAAATTCCAAGCAGCAGATGTTCATTAACAGCAAGTAGTAACGTATTTTTGAAGTAATTTTGGAGAATTAAGATGAAGTGTTAATGTACCAAGCGCTAAAATTACACAAGCTCTTTTACCAATACATGGTTTTAACTGCTTTAAAAATAAACAAAAGCTAAGCCTTGTTAGTTACTTAATCATAAGAGCTTTTCTTCAAATAACTGCAAAAATCCTGAAGGAACATGCTCAGTGTTCTGCTACTCTTTTTGCATACATACCAGCACACTGTTTATATAACCTGTATCTGTAGATTGGATAAGTCTGAAGATAGTTGACCATATTTTCCACACTCAACATTTGAAGCACATGACATTTTTCAGTGAATAAACTCTTCCTCACTGTATCTCAGACCCTATTCCTTACCATCCTTCAGTTTTCTTGGGAAACAAATGGCACATTTTTCTTTTTCCAGTACCTTCAGCAGCTTGGAGAATGCCTCTGACGAACTGTCCAAGAGATTTCGCTCTGTCGTTAGTCCTCTCAGCATCCTGCCTGGTTTGCTCACCATCTGCTGTCACCTTGGTAGCCTAGTGATCCAAATTTAGGAAAACTATAATTAATAAACAGGACAAGGATGCACTATATGATATTCCTACTGGCTGAATCTACGTACAAAACTTCCTGCAGGCAAAAGGCAATCAATGAATTATTGATCAGATGCATGGGAAATTACATGCTCTGTTCAAGTACATGATTAAATTTCATTACCTTTTCCTTTAAATGGAAATTGCAAGGCTTTATTTTAGATTCTTAGAAATCCTAGTTGTGTGCAAGAGCACACAAAGGGAGATAGGATGAAATTATTTACTGAATTTGCTTAAAGAAACATTGTTTGGAACCTTTTAATAGATTCTTCAGGGAATACTTCCCATAGCTTCACAACTGTGCACTTTTCGATTGACAAAGTGCAGCAGACATCATGACCTCTTTGCTTTCTCCCCAGAGGTGTTCTCAGAGACAGTTCACGACAACTAGCAAGAAGAATTTTAAATCAATACACTAATTAACCCAAGGAAAAAAAAGTCGTTTTTTTCAGCTCTAATGCTTGAATTTGTTTGTTTATACCATATTGGGGTGCCCAGTAACATTTTAGCTTTGTGCAGCTGAATGCTTTATAATCATATTGAATGCAGCAGTAACAGCATGAAGACAGACATCTGCTGCAGACCTGAAAAACATGCTGAAGAAAGGAATCACCTTAATACATTCTACTTAGCTCTCAAGGTCCCTGTTTACAAAATAAACCCATTTTTGTTAAAAAGCTGACCATTTCAAGCAACAAAGCTTGTCAAACTGTATTTGTAAAGTAAAAAAACCCATTTTTCTCTTTGGAATTGCACTCCCAAGAAATGTCTTACAGCAAGGTGTTATGAGCTTTCCAGTCTCTTTGAAATAGCTAGAAGGTCAGTAATTACAAATAAGCTTAGGTTTTCACTGACATGAGCTGTACAAACTGGTTTCTCGGTTACAGCCTACCCTTCACCCCTCCCCCC